CTCAACTTCTTTCACTGGTGGGTCAGGGTTCTTTGACTCGGTTTGTTTTTCAATGAAATTCACGAACTTTGCAATAAGCTCTTGGTTCGTTATTGAAAGTACATCTGGCTTCTTTTCTTCTGGTTCTATTGGTGGCTCAGTTTGAACAGAAGGTTTTATATGGACTTCATGGACTTCACCCTTGCCATGCACCTTAATGTTGTCGCTCTCTGCATTCGCTAATGGTACCTTTCTTTTTCTTACGTATATTTTACCATCTTTACTCTGACTTACGTAATAGAAAGGATGTTGTATTCCTCTTGCGTCATTTAATATAATAGACTCTCGCTCTGATTTTGACAAGCTCATTTTACATCGGTTAAAGTTTTAATTTTGTTTTTTATCTGCAATCAAATGACTCAGACAAGCCCTACGGACAAGACCCAAGGTGTCATAGATGTTGAAGCATTGAAGAAAGAAATTCGTGAGCAAATTTTATCCGAACTGAAGGAACAAAAACAAGAACAAAAGCCAGAGAGACCAAAGAGAAAACTTAGTGAAAAACAACTTGCTGCATTAGCTGCTGGAAGACAAAGAACCCACGTTTGCTGGCAAAGAAAGCTAGAGAAGAAGCTGAAGCAAAAAAGAGTAAATGGTTTATTTTTATCCGAATTAAATGTATAGACAAATACCTTTATCTGTTGCGTTCAGTAGTGAAAACCCTGACGTCAAAATAAAGGGGAACAGAGTAACGTTTAAGTTTCCAACAGACTGGATTGTGAACATAAATGAAGAGAAGTACATTGGCATAACATCTATGTATATAACACGTGCTTTCAGAAAGGTTGACTTTATACTTCAAGTCGAGATAGAAAATGACGAACAGTCTTTAAGCGCCCAAAACATTCACATATACAAATACTTTAAAGACGATACAACATTGTTGCAATGTATGATTTCATTTAATGAGATGTTCGAGAAAAAGTTCAACATTGAAGTACAAACTTTACAGCCTTTACGTGAGTTTCTTGCACAACTGAAAGAAGAAGGTAGTCAGCCACAACTTATAGACTTTCATTATGAATTTAATGAAAATGAAGATGGAACTCATGACTGTCAATTCATTGTATTCTCACCATTCAATGAAGTAGCTAAAGAGAAAAAAAATCCATTACGTATAAGATTCAAATCTCTGAACCAAGTGATGATTTCAAGAATGTTTTCAATTATGATGCAATGCTTCCGAGGAAAAATGAATTTTCAAAGATTGTAACACCGGCATTTGGGATAGAAAGCAAGCTATATTATATTCAAACTTAAGTAAGGGAGTTGAAAATGAGTTCATTGGTCATACAAGAACTTCACCACTTCCTAACCCTAAATACTATAAATTAACTGGCTTCAATCGTGAGTTTTGGATAGACATGTTCTCCACTCATGACCATAACTGCCCAGTGTTCTTACCTCCAGACCATAAGGACTGTCTCTACATTGAAGCACAACTCTTAAACTCTACCATCGCAGTATTGTAAAATCTACACTAGCTTTATTTTTATCACGAATGACCTCATTGCTGACAAAAATAAATGACCTCATTCATGACCTCATTCATGACCTCATTCATGACCTCATTCATGACCTCATTGCTGACAAAAATAAATGACCTCAGAACTTCAACTTACGAATAAAGCTTGTTTTAGTCGTTATTGAAAAGTTGAACTTTTCAGCAAAGCAAGGTTGACATGACTTACATAAGTCGAATGCAATCTCTTGACCATCATGAAGTGCTTTGTAAAGTTTCATTAAACTGAACTCAGAGTCTTTGTCATATGTTCCAACAGGTATGTGAATGTTCTTATCTTCATTGTAATAGCATTGTATAGCTTCAGGAAACATTTCATTAGCGGTTAAAGCAATAACATCTTGCTTCACGCCTTTCATTCTGCAGTGAAATGCAACTTCATTTAAATCGTTAGTGAGTAAGTCTATGTAGGTCTTCTTTCCACAGAAAATACTTTTATAAGCTAAACTTTGTTTTTCCAGGTGTTATTTCTGCAAAGTCGCTATGAAATTGACCAAGGTTCTTTCCTATAAGTTCGCGACCATATCTCTTCTTAAACTCTGCTGCAAGCTTTGGGATGTCTTCATTATATAAGTGCATACTGTCGGTATCCTGGTAAAAGATTTGAAGTCCATGTCCTCTGCAGTACAGAATACTTCATTCATAATACGTTTTGACATAGACAGAATATTAACACCAAGTGGACAGAAGTTAAAGTGTCTGCAAATGCTTTTCGTTAGCTTGAAAATAGTTTTATCTGAACCATCCAAACCTTCGAACTTCACTATATGGTTGTAATTTCTTATAGCATATCTTATTGCATCTTTGTCATTTACTATGGTTATTTTTGACTCAATAGGAGATAGAATAGTTTTGCCATAAATGCTGTTCAGAATGAGTTTTATAATTTTTGTAAGGGGTTTTTCTTTTTATACTTTAACTTAACTCAAACAACTTCTTTACTTCATCTCTTATTCTCATATCTCTGTTTCCATCGTAATAGTATCCTTGCAACACTTCACATTTGACACCTTGATATTTTATGAGGTCTTGTAATGTTTATATGGTCAACATACATGAGACAGCAAGTGTTTGAACTTCTTGGAACGTTAAGTTCTGGATTTAGTTCAGGGTCGCAAACTATTAAATGAAAGTGTCTGGGTATACCAATCTCTGTTATCTTAATGAGAACAAAGAAGCCAGACATAAACTTTTCACCAATGGGTTCCTTTTGGTCATCATCGAATAAATGTCTCATGAGATACTCTGTGCTTAACATCTCATCCTTCAATACTTTTGGAATACCTTCTAAAGTATAAAGTCTTGCTATAGCTGAAGGATATAATGAAACAGTGTCGAAGTCAGCAATGAGTTTCTTTTTGCTCTTTTGTTTCATGTTATCTGACAACATACATCTTCCACTTGAATGCATCTCGAAATAAATTCTCTTGGTTTATTTGAGAGGTCATAAAGATTTCCATTCGGGAAGTATACTCTGTTCTCAAACAATTTGTTAGCAATAGAACAAATACTAACGTAGTCATAAACGTTTAAATCAAACTCTTTCAATAAGTCATTGCGGAACTTTACAAAACCTTCTCTTAAAATTCTTACATCTTGTTTTGCAGTAAAACGTGCTATATTTTTCTAAGTCGAAGTGGTTTTCATCTATTCTGCAACCTTTGATGGAATCTATGTTCTTCATAAATGTATCTGCATCATGGATAAACTTACATGCTTCAGAAATGACACCAGTTCTGTTGTCATTTGCTAACAAACACTGCTGTAGTAGTTATATGGAAATACTTCTTTCGGTCCTGTTTGTAAGTTAAACATAGCAGGAAATAGTTTAAGCTTCTTATTTATAACACTGTAAGAGTCTTTTATAATAATTGCCCGTCCTTTATATAAGCCAGTTATTTGCATTGTTCGTGAACCTTTAATGATGGGAGTTCCTTTCACTTCTGTCATGTGTCTTAAGATGAAGTTTATGTCATAACTGAGGTTATGGAAATATATTAAACTCTTGTCAGGAAGTCTTTCCAAAAATTCTGTTGCCAGTTTTGACCCCAAATGCTTTCACTAACTGAACCATCTTCACTGTCATAACAGATGTTTAAAAGCTTTATGAAAGCCATCCGTACTACACTCAAAGTCAGCAAAGAAAACGTGCTCAGGTATGAATTTACATTTAGCTTTATTTACTTCTTTTGACTCTGCTTTCTTCTTCAGTTGTACACAATACTTTGGAGCATATGTCAAATCTTTAAATGGTGCAAGGTTCTGTTTATATAAGTCAGTAGTATATGTGAAAAGTTCTCCATAAGAAATAGGTTCGAAATATTTGCACTCCCACAATGTTTTCATAACATCCATAACGGTGTTGTTCTATCATAACGAACTACATATTTATCTTCTCTCTTTGTATAAATCTTCATCTGTTTCTCAATGTTCATTCCACCACAAGCTTTGAGAATTTCTTTATAGTTTTCGAATGAAGTATGTTGTCATTGGTAATCTTTCATTTAGCATGTAGTGGTCTTCAACAAGAAGTAAGTCAATAGTTCTAACAGTTTCGCATTCTTTTGGTATATATCTCTTTATTTCATTATGTCTTGACTCATTGAAATAACCAATGGTAACATTAAATGATATACCTGTTGCGTCAGAAATTTCTTGTACTTTACTTTGAGGAAAGTCTCTAACACGAATGACTTCTCTCATGTGGTCAATAGTTTCTTCATTTACTCCAGCCTGAATGCAAGCATAAACGAAACAATTGTCCTCTGTCATAAGTGTTGCAGTTCTTTTGTTTCAGTTCATTGAAGATTTGGTAGCGTTCAAGATTTATAGGTAATGTGCAAAGATACTTCCAGAACTGACCGCTTCTCTTCTTATAAAACTTCTTTTCACCATTATCTTTCCAAAAGCTTTCTATAAGTGCTGGGTTTCCTGTTTGCTTAAGAGCTTCCAAAATGGCTTTCTGGTCATTTGTCAGTGTGCTTTCATCTCTATATGGTCTCTTTTTTGGTTTGCCTTTCTTTACATCTGACATCGTTAAGCCTTCATATTCTGTTAAATCATACATCTTTATTTCGGTAAGATTCTTTATGTTTGTCAAGAAGAAGTCATAGTGCATTTCAACAATACCTGCGGCATTTGCTTCTATCTCTGATATAAAGTTCTCCTTCAAGAGCTGATGTAGTAATGTTCCAATATTATTGAGGTTTAACGTAGAACATTCATACTTTCCACCAAGTTTTATAACATACCATCCATCTCTGTTGTGAGTTTATTTTAATTTTTCTCTAAGAGTCTCATGAAAACCTTACCCGAAATGTTTGTGTAAGTAGTCTCTGTTTGGTTCATCTAAAGCTTCGATGTTAAAGTCAATGAGTCTATTGCCTGACTTCACATTTCTTCTTCCTATTCTCTTCATCTTTCTTTAACCATCTCTCACCTTCTTTTGGTTTGTCGTCAATGGAACGAATGACATCGTTAGCTTTGCGAACTTGTTCTATAGCACTTTTAAACATCTCTCTTCTCTGTTGTTTCAGTGTGTCGTCTCTTCTTCTTGTTTCACCAACGTTCGCATTTGTTATGTCAAACATCTCTTGACGAACATCATGCGAAAGAGCTTTACGAGTATGACCAACGTTCGCATTTGTTATGTCAAACATTTCTCTTCTTACTTCATGCGAAAGAGCTTTACGAGTATGACCAACGTTCGCATTTGTTATGTCAAACATCTCTCTTCTTACTTCATGAGGTACTGAACGTCTATGATATAAGTCAATAGCAACGTCATTTAAAGGAAATGCTATTGCATGGACTTCGTCCTCGCCGCGTTGCGGCTTTATGAACTCATGAATTCTATCATAACTTATTGCACCATTATAGTCTTTAATGAAGTCAGCGAGTGCTTTTTTGTTTGTTGCGTAATGCTTTGCAACATCTATATTAGCTTCTGTAAGAAGTTGTTTTATTTCCGAGTGTTCTAACTTAGACAACTTCCGATACATCTTTAGTAGGAAATAAAAAAAATATTTTTTGAAAAATTAGATTAGATTTTTTTTAAGTTATTTTTCAAAATAATTTAATATTTTTATTTTAATGAAACACATGCAAGATTGCAAGTTCTTTTCATACAATGCTCTCGCTACTGCCATCAAGAATGAGTTCAATAATGCTTCAAATGTTAATATTATCTTTAACAAGAAGTTTGTGAAAGAATCTAAGTTTGGTCAGTATGTCAGACCATTAGCTATCGTCATTGACCGCAAACGTTATACTTCACAAGAGTTAGCAGTAGTTTTGAAACAAAAGAGTTTCTTCGTGAATGTCAAAGATACTCATTATACTGTCATAAAGAACTCTAACATTGACTTCTTCAGTATTGCTATGAATCTTTCCGAACAGAAAGAATATAAGAAGGGTGAAACAAATGTGAAATATTATCCTTCATCTCTGAAGACAATAACGAACAAAGATGTTATACAGAAATTCTTACCAAAGGTTGAAGAAGCTTCAATTGACATTGACGAAGGAAGTGAAATGGTTGAAGAAATTGACCCTGAAGCTATTTAAGCAAAAATATATTTTTGAATAACTGAAGGTGTCACCATGTCACCATGTCACCATGTCACCAGGTCATTTAACTTCTCTGAAAAAATGAGACAACATGACATTTAGACAACAAGCCCGGAAATAAATTTTATCATTAATGATTTCGTAAATGTTTTCATTAATGATTTCGTTAATGTTTTCAGTGTCACCATGTCACCATGTCACCAGGTCATTTAACTTCTTTTAAAAAGTGTGACAACATGACATTTTGACAACACAGCAGGATTAATGCAAAAATAAATTCAAATCATACTTTATAAAGCTAGACCTTCAGGTCTCGCCGCTTAGCGGCTCATTTACAGGTATTTCATCGTCAGTAAATGAATCCTCATTATCGTTTGGTTCAACCTGTTTATATAATCCTTTCATTTCTTCTTTCAAAACATAACACCACGTCTGTTTACCATCTATTCTTCTCTGTTTCCTTTCACATTTATCCTTAATGCTCATTTGAAAGTTTTTGTCTTTCATGTCTGATGGTTTGCAGAATAGAGCATTTTTACACATCATACCTGCACACAATTCATCATAATGTGTATTTATCCATACATCTAAAGGATTTGTTGATAATTCAATTAAATCTTGTTTGGCTTCAGTCATCGGTATGATTCGTACATTAAATGATGAAAGGTTCATATTGCATAAAATATGTTAAAAGGTTATCATAAAATTCCTTTTGTGCATGAATCCATTAAATTCTTGAAGTAATCAAATTGACCCTTAAATTTACCATTAACTCTTAAAACTACATATCTTCTGTCTCAACTTCAATTTTGACAGGGTAGACGTTATTAGTTACGAAAATGAAATTAGCAACATTCTGAGCAGTTCTTCTGGGTTGATTCTTTTCATTAATTCTAATCTCATTATCCGTAATAATTGATTTCAAAGCGTTGAAGTTTGCGAGTCTGTCTTCACCAACATTCTTGAGTTCATTAAGTACAAGAAACATTTTATTCTCAACTACTGAATTGAAATTACCCGTTTAGCTCACCTATTTCAGTAATGTTTTTACATGAATAACCGCGAGAAGTTCAGAAATAATGTCTGTAAATCTGTTTTTCCTGTTCCCTGAAGTCCTTTCAAAATAATTGCTGTTTCATTCTTGATTCCTGGATGTTGAATCATTGATGCAATCCAACCGAGAAGGTATTTATACACTTCATCATTTTATCACAAATGGCTTCTTTAATGAAATTCATAAACATCTCAATTTTTGAGTAATCAGGCTTTTCGAGAATGTTGTATTTATAACCTTGAAACGTTGAGAAAACATCTGGGGAATCAGATTTAAAGCAAACCCCCTTAACGGTTAATGAGGATAATTGATTTAGTAGTACATCCCATGCTGTTATTGTTTTACCTTCTTCTTTAAATAATTTAATCATTTTGAGTGACTCTTTCATGTTTGATTGAAGAACGAATGATATTTGATTCATTTTGTCGTGGATATTATAGTCCTTTGAATGAAATATTTATTTCCACAATCTACAAAACGGATTACACGTGATAAATCCTCAATTACTTCAGAACTGTTTTATACTGATGATTTTCAGCCTTGCGTCTAATATCTGTTATCAAAAACGAGTCATCAAGTTTGATATCAAATGTTATTTTTGGCTTACGTAATAAAGGTAAAACGTATTCATCATAATATTCCTTTTGATATAGTTTTAGAATCTTCACTAAAACAAATGGAGAAGTCATTAAATGTGCATATCTACTACGTGCTTTTTCAAAATTACTTTTTGCATTTTCTGTTAAACTGCAGAAGTTATAAACGTTATCGTATGCTTCATTAATCAAATGATTAGGTAATGAATTAATAGCTTGAAACAGTGTGAATAATGTTATTTCTTTTTCTAAATTCATGTTTCCACCGTCATTATGTACTTCAAAATCACAGATGCCATCAACTATGCTCTGGGCAAGTTTATCGTCAATGTTTACATCTTTGTTTTCATTCATGATAGTCTTTATTTCTTCATTCTTCTGTTCAACTCTTACCTTAATATTCAAATCATTTAATATATCGTTTACGGTTCTGGTTAATGTTGAATCATAACTTCCACGAATGAATGAGTATGTATTGATTGGTTCTGTTGCATTCTTGCGAACTCTTGAATCAGCCATAAGAACGCTTTGAATCATCCATAGAAGTCATTATATCAATATCATAATCATTGCAGGAATAACATTTAATCATTCTGTTCGAAACTGCATGGAAGAAATTAGTGTTACAATAAATGTGAAGACCTCCTGAAGCGGTTTTAACGATAACATCTTTATCCGAAAGTTTTGATTTGTCTAACTGTTTCTTTAAGTTCATCATTGTACGATTTATTGATATCAACATCTATAATCGTTAAATTTGAAATTTTATTTACTAATAAAGCCATACCAGTTTTCCTTCCTCTTCCTCCATCGTGTTTGAGGTAGTTATGTAAATCAATCTTGTTTTCACCAATTCTTTCGTTGAGGGTTTTAGTTTCTGCCACAACTAATTCCTCAACTAATGAATCAATAACTTTTTCATCAGAAACGATATAGTTGCTGTTGTTGTTTGTTGCTGTCATTTATATAGGAATAAAAAAATAAAAATAATTTTAAAACTAACTTTATTTTTGGACTGCATCAAATTTCCTGGACTGTTGTCTAAATGTCATGTTGTCATCATTTTTAAGAGAAGTTAATTAACCTGGTGACATGGTGACGTGGTGACACTGAAAACATTTATGAAAACATTTACGAAACATTAACGTAAACATTAACGATAAAATTTATTTCCAGGACTGTTGTCTAAATGTCATGTTGTCATCATTTTTAAGAGAAGTTAATTAACCTGGTGACATGGTGACGTGGTGACACCTTCAGTTCTTCAAAAATAATTCATAACTGCCATCCTCCTGTGTTGTTGTCAAAATGTCATGTTGTCATCATTTTTAAGAGAAGTTAATTAACCTGGTGACATGGTGACGTGGTGACACCTTCAGTTCTTCAAAAATAATTCATAACTGCCATCCTCCTGTGTTGTCAAAATGTCATGTTGTCTCATTTTTTCAGAGAAGTTAAATGACCTGGTGACATGGTGACATGGTGACACCTTCAGTTCTTCAAAATAATTAATTATTGAATAACCTAAAACATTAACGTATATATTTTGGTCGTTTATGATAAAAATAAATGGTTCATTTACTCACAATATTTTTGTACAAAACGACCCCAAACTTTTAACTTCTTTTCTGCAGCTTCAAATGCTATCTTAGCGAGTTCATATTCTCTAAATTCTCTCTTTAATCTTCTTGTTCCCATTGGTCTAGTTCGTATGGAGAATCTCTATAACCATAACATATCTCACGTTCATGTTCTAATTGTTTTTCACACATTTTTCCAACTTCTTCTTCGAACAAAGGTTTAGCATTCTCCACTGTATCTTCGAGTTCTTCTTCATCTAAACTTCTCATGAACTTTCTTGTCTATGGAGTCCATAATATCTTTGACATAAAATGCATACTTTACAGAGCACCATTCAGCAACAAAATGAACGAGGTCAGCATGTATGTAAATACCTTTGAATTCATTCATAACGCCCTTAGTAAGCTCATAAAATGCTTGTTTTGAGGTTGAGCCACTTTTGGCTCGACCGTATTCTTTCAACCAAAACTCAAGAATTTCCTGCATTTTAGCACTATGAGAAATCTGTTTAAATGGTTTAACTTTCCTGCTTCTCTTGCCATCTTTGTTGCATTAATGTAACCATCCTTGTCTCTACGTAAGACTTCAATACCGTTATAAGTGCCTTTTGTGAATGTTTCACCATTAGATTTGTTCGTGAATGTTTTTGCTTCGACTGACATTTCTGTTCTTACATACAAAATAAAAAAATAAATAAAAATAAAACTAACTTTATTTTTTTTGGTCTTTTGTGAAAATTCATGAAAATTCAACGGGTGAAAAAAGAGGTGAAAAAACAGGTGAGATCTCACCACTTCACCTAAATTTATTTTTGCGCTATGTTTTCATACGTGTGAGGGTGGTGATATCATTAATTTTTAAGTTTATTTTTTATTTTACTGAAAATTTTTATTTGGATGTAAATGACAGAACAAAAGCAACTCATACAAATCGAAAAATATAACAAACATACATTTAAACATTTATTCTTCCTTCCTGAGCATAACATGTTCTTTCAAATACATCCGAGACCAGTTGACTTTTCATTGACTGTGTATAAAGATAGAAATAGTTATATCATTAAACCATATGATGACGAAGGTAAGTTATGTAAATTGTACGTTAAGAAGTTAGAGAAAGTTTATGGCTTCAAGTATGACTACAATAGGGTTAACACTGATGATGAAGATATTGAGGAAAATTTATGAGAACATTAGTGAAG